GCTGGTCCTGACGGGGCTGCAGCCCCGGGTTTGATTTTCAAGCCGAGCGAGAGAGACGGCGCGGCTGGGCGAGAGGCAGAGCTGAGCAGGGATCCCAGCTCCCCCCGTGACACGGATCCTGCAGCGCCGGCTGCTGCCGTGTGTGTCCTTGTTCCAGCCCCGTGCTCCTCTCCCCAGAGATGGTGGGAGGAGACCAGAGCAATCATCCTGCTCCTTGTGACTGGCTGGTTTCCTAGAAAACCCTTTTGGGTTGGGAGGGACCTTAAAGCTCATCCAGTCCCAACCCCCCTGCCAGCAGCAGGGACACCTTCCACTAGACCAGGTTGCTCAAAGCCTCATCCAGCCTGGCCGAGAACACTTCCAGGGAGGGGGCATCTACAACTTCCTTGGGCAACCTGTTCCAGTGTCTGACCACCCTCACAGTGAAGAACTTCTTCCTAATATCTCATCTAAACCTCCCCTCTTTCAGCTTCAACCCATTTCCCCATTTCAATATCCTTATCTGGACAGGATTGAGGCTGTAGATGTGTTGGGTTTTAAATTTGTTCTCTTTGGCCCACCACTAGCCCTGTGTGATCTCGAGAAGGGTGTTTTTCTGCTCCACACTTGTCCCCTGAGGTGAATAATGTAACACTGGGCTTTGAAATCCTCTTGATAAAACCAAGACTCAGGTCTCGCCGAGCGCGTTTACACGGAAGCGGAGCTCAGCATCCCGCGTTGGACTCCTGCTCTGTAACTTTATCTTTCCTGCAATTGCCAGTTAAGTGTTGTTTGATGGCTGAACCCAGTCTTGTTTGATGGCTGAACCCAGTTTCCTCTCTCTTTCCAGGAGTACACTTGCCCAAGATGTGAATCTGGCTTTATTGAAGAAGTCACAGATGATTCCAGGTGACGTACCCATCGGTGCCCCCCTTGTTCCACCACACGTTTGATGTTTCTGCTGGGTTTGTAAGATGCCTGGTGTTAAGGCCTCTAAAAACAGTGGACAGCAAGGATAAAATAAGGAATGCGAAAGAAAAGTGTATTTATTAGTGTGAATTTGGACTTAATACCTGATGAGACTGAAAGTACAAGTGGCCATCGGTCTCCTGCCGGAGCCACGTGGAGGGTTTTGGGGCAGAATTCCGAGAAGACGGGGGTTTTGAATTAAGGTTGTACAAAGTTCTGTGAACAAAAGTGCTTACAGGTTTTTGATGCCTCTTTGGTCTATTTACAGCAAAAAAGCTTATTTTCTCTTCCCTCTTCCTCCCTCTTCCTCCCTCTTCCTCCCTCTTCCTCCCTCTTCCTCCCTCTTCCTCCCTCTTCCTCCCTCTTCCTCCCTCTTCCTCCCTCTTCCTCCCTCCCCCCCCCTCTTCCTCCCTCTTCCTCCCTCTTCCTCCCTCTTCCTCCCTCTTCCTCCCTCTTCCTCCCTCTTCCTCCCTCTTCCTCCCTCTTCCTCCCTCTTCCTCCCTCTTCCTCCCTCTTCCTCCCTCTTCCTCCCTCTTCCTCCCTCTTCCTCCCTCTTCCTCCCTCTTCCTCCCTCTTCCTCCCTCTTCCTCCCTCTTCCTCCCTCTTCCTCCCTCTTCCTCCCTCTTCCTCCCTCTTCCTCCCTCTTCCTCCCTCTTCCTCCCTCTTCCTCCCTCTTCCTCCCTCTTCCTCCCTCTTCCTCCCTCTTCCTCCCTCTTCCTCCCTCTTCCTCCCTCTTCCTCCCTCTTCCTCCCTCTTCCTCCCTCTTCCTCCCTCTTCCTCCCTCTTCCTCCCTCTTCCTCCCTCTTCCTCCCTCTTCCTCCCTCTTCCTCCCTCTTCCTCCCTCTTCCTCCCTCTTCCTCCCTCTTCCTCCCTCTTCCTCCCTCTTCCTCCCTCTTCCTCCCTCTTCCTCCCTCTTCCTCCCTCTTCCTCCCTCTTCCTCCCTCTTCCTCCCTCTTCCTCCCTCTTCCTCCCTCTCAAGCTTAAATCTCAGTGACCTGCAGTCCCTTTCATTTTTCCTCTCTTGGCCCCAGCTCAGTCTCCTGACCACCTCTCTGATTTCAAGTCTCAGACCAAGAGAGAAAGAAATACCTTTTCTCTCTGGGGTTTGGTTGTTGGTCACCCAGCAGAACACGCTGCCTGCAGATTAGGGATCCAAAATGATATTTGAATATATTACTATATTTGATCTTAAATAATCACCGAGAAAATGGCTTTATTTTGGGCTGGGAGTAGGCAAGGCGAAAGGGCAGCAGTGACTACGTGAACCTTTGCTGTCTGAGACTCGCTGCAGCAGGGATTTGCAGCTGAGTTTTGCTGGGGGGAGGACTTAATGTCACACTGTGTCCTCTTAAATATAAATATATACTCATCACTTAAGGCAAGACTGGAGGGTTCCTCTGGAGCGCTCAGCACGTGATCCTGTCTGCAGAATGATGATGCTCCATCTCAAATGCTCCTCTTAAGAGGCTCATCCAGAGTCTGGGTAGTTAGAAACCAGCTTTCTTCCACAGGCAGGTTGTCCATAGTGTGCTGGCACATACACCAGCCTTGTAATTTTAATAATCCTTCTCTGTCCCTAGGTATTATTCTGCTGTGTTCTCACAGGCAGGCTCTTTGCTCATCCCTTCCTCTCTCTGTCTTGCTCACGTGAGCTCCTGTCAGTATTTAACCCCAGAAGGTCGAGAGAGGTTCTCCTCCCCCTCTACTCTGCCCTGGTGAGGCCACATCTGGAATATTGTGTCCAGTTCTGGGCCCCACAGTTCAGGAAGGACAGGGAACTGCTGGAGAGAGTCCAGCACAGAGCCACCAAGATGATGAAGGGAGTGGAGCATCTCCCTGCTGGGGAAAGGCTGAGGGAGCTGGGGCTCTTTAGCTTGGAGAAGAGGAGACTGAGGGGTGACCTCATTAATGTTTATCAATATGCAAAGGGTGAATGTCAGGAGGATGGAGCCAGGCTCTTCTCAGTGATGCCCAGTGGTAGGACAAGGGGCAATGGGTGTGAGCTGGAACACAGGAGGTTCTGCTTCAACTGGAGAAGAAACTTCTTTCCAGTGAGGGTGCCAGAGCCCTGGGACAGGCTGCCCAGGGAGGGTGTGGAGTCTCCTTCTCTGGAGACATTCAAAACCTGCCTGGACACCTTCCTGTGTGATCTCATTGAGGTTCCTGCTCTGGCAGGGGGTTGGACTGGATGATCTTTTGAGGTCCCTTCCAATCCCTGACATGCTGTGATTGTGTGTGTGATTCTGTGAAGGGAGCTGGTTTCTGGAAGGGTGACCTGCTCTCACTCGCCTGTTTCTCTCCAGTTTTCTAGATGGCAGTGGTGCAGATGACAGCCCATCCACGCAGTTTGCAGAGGTGAGTTTTGCTGTCTTCTTTTTTTTTAAAAAACAAACAAACAAACAAACAAAAAACTCCTGCAATCCCTATAGACTACTTTTGTGCAATCAAAAATAAGTTACATAGAAAATCAGTTACTCTGCAGATGTACAGGCATCTTCACTTGCTGCCTTGTAAAAAGGACAGCTGATCTTCCTACGAGTTTTCAGGAACTTGGCACGTTTTCAGGAGAGTGTTGACACCACCAGAAGTTTGCTCACTGGGCAGGGCAGGAAAAGAAGGATGCTAGAAAGACACCCTGGTGCTGGCAGATGTTGGGATGTGTGTCAGTGATGCTCAGCCAGGCAGGGAGGGTGTTGCCTGACTGTCCTTTCCTCCCTGCTCATTACTGCTCCAAATTTTACCAGAAATGCAACTGCCTAAAAAGTCCAAACTAATAACAAAATCCCTGTCCCGTAACTCAGCTGCGTGGACCTCAGAGCAGGGGGTGTTGGGCAGGAAGGGCTGGAAAGGCCTTTTCTCACCCCATTACCTAAAGTCTCAAACTGACAGCTCGAGTTGAGCTCTGTGAACACACACCCTGAACTCTTCAGCACCCCAGAGCTCTTCTTCCAGACCCCAGGGAGAGAAAAGCAGCTCCAGGCTCCGTTCCCGACGGCTCTTGTTTCCCTTCAGGAGTTCAGCTGAGCTGCGTAAAGCACATGGGAATAAAATATCTCCTCTGCCAGCAGGCCTTCCTCAGAGATCAGGTTATTTATTTGCTCAATTATTGAGGAGTTTTAATTGTTTCTCAGTCCTGCCAGGTTCCTCAGACTTCCCCAATGCCTTGAAGTCACGGCTCAGCCAGGGTTATCCCTGGGTAGATTTGGGGGTCTGGGTTGTCACTGAGCTCCTTCCTGCGCTCGGTTCAGTGCCAGAAGCACCAAATAGCTGAAATTCCTTTACAGCTTTGTGTTTGCATCCACGTTCCCTATGTGTAGGGCTGGTTTTTCCTCTCCTCCTCTCCTCTTCAGCTGGATCCTGAACAAAACTGGTGCCTTTTTCTTGCTCCTATCCCAGAAGTGCCCGTGTTTCAGCGAGATAAAATGGTCTCGTGTTCTAGGCCACGTGTCGCTTTACACCAAGAGCTTTGGGATGCTGCTGCCTGAAAGGTGCTTTGTAAATTTAAATGGCTTTTAGGATTAATAATAAATGAAAGTCTTCTCTCAGCAGTGTGGCTGCAGGCAGAGCTGTATCTTGATCGTAACCAGCGGGAGAACAAGAGAAACTCTTGTCTGCAGGGTATTAATTCAGACAGCAGGTCGTAAACTCGACTTCTCCCTTTCCTCCAACACCAGATTGAAGCAGGCGATGCAAGAGACTTTTAAAGGGAGCTAATTTGGTGTGAAATAGAAATTAAGCTGCTGTGATCATGTCATCATGTGTGATGAGTGTCTAGTACAAGTAAGGAAGGAACAGCCCTTGTGTTATGCTCTGGAGTATTTAATTCCTGTAGTAAATCTGAGGACACTGCTCCTTTGAATATCACAGAATCATAGACTGGTTTGGGTTGGAAGGGACCTTAAAGCTCATCCAGTCCCAACCCCCCTGCCAGCAGCAGGGACACCTTCCACTAGACCAGGTTGCTCAAAGCCTCATCCAGCCTGGCAGAGAACACTTCCAGGGAGGAGCAGCCACAGCTTCTCTGGGCAACCTGGGACACTGTCTCACCACCCTCACAGTGAAGAACTTCTTCCTAATATCTCATCTAAACCTCCCCTCTTTCAGCTTAAACCCATTTCCCCTTGTTTTGTCATTAACTGCCCTTATGAAAAGTCCCTCCCCAGCCTTCCTGGAGCCCCTTCAGGTACTGGGAGGCCGCTATAAGATCTCCCTGGAGCCTTCTCTTCTCCAGGCTGAACAGCCCCAACTCTCTCAGCCTGTCCTCACAGCAGAGCTGCTCCAGCCCTGGCATCATCCTGGTGGCCCTTCTCTGGACTTGTTCTAACATATCACTTTTGCAGTGCAGAGCCTGGCCCGGGTGTAGCGAGCGTGAGCGGCAGCTTGCTCCCACGTGCCACAGGGGAGGGTTTCTTGTCTGATGCTCCTTGGTTTCTTGTCCTCTATGAATTTGTTTTTCTTTTTCATAAACCCACATCATAAATCTTCAATGCCCTTTCTCAGCTGTTCTTTTAATCTGTGGGCGATTTGAAGCGTGAAAGGAATAAAACCAAATGGAGAGAGTCACTGAGGGGGCTCTCAGCTCTGCACTGTGGCTCAGGATGGGGATGCCTTGCTCTGGGTTCCTGGGGGCTTTTGTTCACCCCCTGGGAGCCCACAGAGGGTAGTGTAGCCTGCACAGATCCATTGATCACCCCAGCAGGTCTTGATTTGTGTTCAATTTCTGTCTCTTTTTCTCCCTTGGAGAGGCTCGGGGTTGGCAATTTGACTTGGTCAAGGAGCAGCTGGGTTTCTGCATCACCAGCAGCAGGTAGATCTGCTGTAAGGCCAGGAGATGGCTTTACCTGCGTGGATGTCGGTCTGTTCAACCAAGGAACAAGAGACAGGCCAAGAGGAAATGGGCTCCAGTTGTGCCCAGGGCAGTTGAGATGGGATGTGAGGAAGAATTTCTTTGCTGAAAGGGTTCTGAGGCATTGGAAGGGGTTGCCCAGGGCAGTGGTGGAGTCCCCATCCCTGGAGGGATTGAAGAGTCGTGTAGACACAGTGCTGAGGGACATGGGTTAGTCGGGGACTGGTCAGTGTTGGGTTCATGGTTGGACTCAATGATCTTCACGGGCTTTTCCAATCCAGGCAATTCTGGAATGGACCCCACCAAACAGCTTTACATGTGTGAGACCTTTCGTTATCGGCCGTTTCGTGCTGTCACATTGAACCAGAGGACACAACCAGAGCCACAAACCCTCCTCCTCGGGGCCGTGCTTCAGTTCTTTTGGCCACATCCATTTGGTGGCTACGAGAACCCAGAGCACTTGCTGAGCCTATGGACCATTGTGGAGCCTGGGTGTCCAGCATGACTTCTCAAATCCCAGCCCTTGGAGAGAGAGAGAGAGACCAACCCTCGCAGGACCCTGGGCTGGCTTATCAAAATAGATGTTGGGATCTGTACGTGGCAGGAAAGAGCTGACGTGTTGGTCTTCCTGGGGGTGGTACATCTGATTAGTTTGGGCTATAATTAAGCCTTTTTGCCAGACTTTTTCCTGGGAGCCATGGTAACCATGTGAATTTGCTCGGTTGCTTCTGTCGAGGTGGACTTCCCTGCCTCCGCCTTGGTAGCGGAGTCACTGGGATTAGTGACGGAACTGTGTGTGGTTTGTCTCTCCCCTTTTCTCCCACCAGCTTTGGGACCATTTGGACCACACAATGTTCTTTCCTGACTTCAGACCCTTTCTGAGTAGCAGCTCACTGGATCAAGACAGCAGGGACAATGAGAGGGGCCACCAAGCCCATGCTGACCTCTGGGGACCAAGCAGACCCCCGCGATTGCCCATGACGCGGAGATACAGATCCCGGGGCAGCTCGCGCCCCGACAGATCTCCTGCTATCGAAGGGTAAGTGCCTAAATTACCCCCTGGCAGCTTCTCCCTTCCCTGTCAGGGGTAAAATGTGGGCTCTTGGGGAAGAAACCTGACAAAATGGGATTGTGGCACTTATGGTAGGTGACCCTCAGACCCAGCAAACGCAGGTTGTCACGTCAGATCCTCTGCCCTTTGTCCTCCCTGGGCACAAACTGAAGCTGTGCCTGGTGGGAAAGGTGGGTTTTGCCTGTAAAGATGCCAACCCTGACCGCAGGGAAACGAGTCAGCGCTTGGAAAACACAGTCATTTCCTTTCCCTCTCCCAACCCTCCCACGCTCCCATGAGTTAGCATCCCTTCTGCCGTCGTGCTGTGCTGCTGGCTCAGCCCTCACCCTTCTGCAGAGGGATTGACTTAGGTGTGAGCCTCCAAACAGCATGGCCATCAGTCAGAGCAGTATTTCATGTTTTGCTGCCCATTCTTGCTAAACTCTTGCTGCTGCCATGCTTTGTTTGCTCAACTCATTCCTTTTTTTCTCTTTCTCAATTCCTCTTTAGAATAATCCAGCAGATCTTTGCAGGTTTTTTTGCAAACTCGGCGATTCCTGGCTCCCAACATCCTTTTTCCTGGTGAGTAGCAAGTGTGGTTTACACCCCTGGCTTTGATCACGGCCGTCCACACCAGTGAACAGCCGCGGTTTGGTGCCTGGGAGCTCTGACTCCCCAGTGTGGCCTCTCTGGGAGGATGGTGCAAACCTCAGGGCTCGTTTGGGGCGAGTTAAATGATTTCCTTGACTCTTTGCTCCCATCTGCAGGAGTGGGATGCTGCACTCAAATCCTGGGGACTATGCGTGGGGACAGAGTGGCCTCGATGCTATTGTCACCCAGGTAAGACCCACCTGCATACCTGGGTGGAGAAAGGCCCGAGCTGCCTGGTCCAGGCTTTGACCTGTGCCTATAAAATTAAAATCTCCAACATCAGTCCCAGTTCTCTCACTAAATTCATCAGTTTTCACCCATGAGCCATTTCCCCCTGTGGTTTGTGGAGGGATGAGCTGATTCCTGTTCTCTGGAAGCATTGTCTGTCTCCTTTGAGGATCGGGGGTGTCCAACCTCCATTCCCAGTCTCTTCCAGGCTGTTGGCAACACTGGGATGGGAAGAGCAGACAAATGCTTTACCAAGAACTAATTTGACTGCTTTTGTCATGCTGACACCTCCCGAAAGTGCCTGGCAAAGCCATCTGCTGCCATTCTGAAGTAGCCCCCGGCTTCCTGGGCTGCATCACACGCCCGTCTTGCCCATCTTACTCACAGCTTCCCAAAATGACTCCGCAGCCCACACGGCCACTCCGAGCCAGCACCTTCCTCCTCCCGCCCCGCACCCAGCTGTGCAGAGCAAGCCCCAGCAAGCACAGCGGGGTTGGTGTCCCAGTTTGGATTCAGGCTGGATAGGCGGCTCCGCGCTGGCAGCCCTGCCCATCCTGGGGTTTTGTGTCATCCCAAACATCTTAATGTGGCCTTCAAAGTTAAATTAACTCCTCCAAATCCTTCGCTGTGCTCTCCCTGACCGCGCTTGAACCCGTTTGAGCTGATTGCTGGGTGAATCTAGGTCTTAACAATATAAAATTCCTATGAGTCATGGAATGGTAACGCTAGGAAAAGAGGTGCTGTCAGCAGCTCCAGCTCAGCCTGTGTTCGACCTCAGAGACCCCACGCAGGAGATCCAGACCCATGGGAGTGTGGGCTTTGCTGCGGCTGCTCCTTGGTTTGGTGGTGGTACTCGACTAAAGCAGCTTCTTGTTATAGCTCTGGGAGGTCTCCTTGTTCCTCCTGACACCTGGGTCAGGTCTTGGGAGAGGCAGAAGATGCTCCATCTCCCTTGTTTCTGCAGTATGAGGTTCTTCCTCTTCTGAAAACATCTCTACCGACTCCCTTTCCATTCAGAATACTCCAGGACTAACTGAGCACCCTCTCCCATGTCCATGGCAATGTCTCCCATCCCACCCCAGCCCTTCAGTCTCCTGACTGTTGATGCAAGAGAAGAATATCTGGAGGGCGACGATGTTAGAAGTGAGATTGCCCAGATTGGAGATGTGAAAGTAACGTTTCCACACTGAAAATATTGCTGCAGAGGAGGGAACAGTCACCTGTGTGCTGAATATCTGAGCTAGGATGAAGTTGGCCTGAGTTTGCTTCTAGGAATGTTTCTGACGAGGGAGCTGGTGATGTTTGTCACTTCAAAGGCTTTAGGACCAGGTCAGGGACATCCCCCAGGGACAGCCCATGCTGAGCTGCTCCTTCCTGGGTGTTTGGTTTTGGGACATAGCGCTCACTGTGTTTGTATGATGATGCTCTGCACAGCAAAGCCGTGTCCCTGCTCCTGAGCACAGTGTGTTTTCTTCTCCACAGCTCTTAGGGCAGCTGGAAAACACAGGACCACCTCCAGCTGACAAAGAGAAGATCTCATCTCTCCCAACAGTGACAGTAACTCAGGAACAAGTCGGTAGGTGAAATCAGTGGCGGGTGACCACTGTCCCTCATCTCCTGATGCTTTGACAGACATCCTGAGCTCTCTCACTCCCTCTGCTAAGGATCAGCCCCTTTGCTGTGTCCTGTGAATGTTGTGAGTTGGAAGGGACCTAC